AAGTTGATTGTGATTAGGTAGGAAAAACATTCAGGAAATAAGTACTTAGTACTAATTGAAATTATGTGAATTTTGGATTGCACTATTAATCTTGGGTTCTGCATCAGGAATGTATAGCGCAATGGAACCTTCCATATAGCACCTCAATAGTGTGAACCAGAAGAACCAACATCATCTGTAATAAAGATTCAAGCAGCTGGTTGATCTAATCAGATCCAGTGGCAGCGCCTCTAACAAATTACTCAAAGCCAATAGGTCTCTACCCTAAGTAATCTCTAATCCCTCGTTGCATAGAGATTGAGGGTTATTGCACAGTCCTAGGAGACGGGACCACGGAGATAGTAGCAACAATATACTAGGGTCCTGGGCCTTGGATCTGGCCATGGGCCCTGCTAGTATGAAATCCTGAAGCAAGCGAGCTGCTTGCTTGTTTCCCAGTTTTCTGGCCTTGCCTTCCTATAATGAGGCTTGTCTAAGAGAACTTCTCATCTTTTAGAGAGAATCTTTTTGGATTAATATCTTGCTGATTTTGTTCATGATAATAGATGTATTGTAGTTTTCTTGGTTTTCCGGCCTTGTCGTCCTACGGTAAGCTCATTAAAGAGAAATTTTGATCTTTTAGAGAGAAATTTTTTGGATTAATAGCTTGTTGATTTTATTCGTAACAATAGATGTATTTAGAGTGAAGCTAATTAAATTAGATCCCTATTACAATTCTAAGAATCATGGTCCTAATTTTATTTTAGTCATAATCCAAATTTAATAATAGTTATAAGATCCTAGTTGTAGTTTTATTCCAATTTCCTAATCTAAATCTAAATAATTAATAAAAATCCTTAAATAATTCCAACTCTTGAAAGAAACTAACTTCCTAATAGACTTAAACTCCTTCCTTCTACTGCTTCTATGGGTCCCACACCTTATTATTTTCTATATCATAACATTTCTCCCCTTCTCGAATTGAAGCTTGTCTGCAAGCGCCAAAATGGAATGTTTTCTTGTGCCTTGCTTCCTCCTCATCTCTTGCCTCATTCTCAATTTTCAAACAAAATAGCTTTTTACACACATATACTGGAACAAATGATTCATCACAGTTGAAACGGGTACCCTTATTGCCCTGACCACTATAAGAGGCCTGCTGCGTATAACCTTGCTTTTTAGTCCATTCGCTACCATGGAATCCATAAAGGAGTAAGAGCTTATCCAAAAGTATCATGACGACCTTCTTATGTAATGGACCTTTAATTCTCAAGGTCCCTCTGGTAGACATGGCTTCAATGACTTGCAGAGAAACAGTTCCTGTGTCCTCAAGAGTCTCCTAGTTCTCTTCTTCCTTGTTTGCTTCCTTCCCCTCCTTGACTTCCTCCTCACTTTCCTCCACAGCCATGACTGTTCTGTTCTTACACTGGTGTTCTAGGAAGTATCTCTCTCCATAGGGATAACATAAGTTATTTCGCCCACCCTCTTGCTGGTTGTGGATCATAGCTTTTAGTTTCTTTCGTGTGGTAGTTACTTTTTGGTGCTTGCCATGAAAGGCTGGGTGTATACAGGAAGAATTTTTGGAACTGATTGGTGAGTAATGTGTTTTTGGGCTGTAGGTGGGAGACAATTGGAGGCCAACTGGTTTCTAGCAATTCATCACCTCAACAGATAGTTCTTGTTATAGGACTAGCTTAAAAGCATGGTTAAGGGTGAGAGGTTTATGCATTCTCACAGTGGGTTGAAACTTTTCCTTCAATCCACTTATGAAACTAGAGATAAAATCTCTCAAATAACCTAGGGTTTTCAATGAGCAAAAATGATCTCAGCTCAACTTTTTCCTGGTAGTTAAGTACAAACTCCTCCTGAACAAGTTTATTGAATTCTTCCACCACATCAATGCATTTATCTCACTCAGTCAATTCTCAAAGTTAGTTTAAAATGGCACTATTGACCACCTTTCAGTTCTGCACTACTGAATGGCCAAATTTTCCTGCCAACCAAATTCTGGTGTAGTGGGTTGATTTAGACCTTGAGAAGACCTCAAGGAAAGATTTTCCCTTCTGCAAGCCCAGTTTTTAGATTTCAGCCATCAGGACAAAGCCAAACTCCCTCTGTGTACTGTTGAGAACGTGACATGATCCAAGTCAGAATAACTTTTTATTAATGCTAATAGTATTAATCAAGTGTAGTTTTACTTGATTTTTATTTGAATTTGAATTACGATTGATTAGATGTAATGTGCAGGTTGGCAGGTTTGTAATAAGATTCTGTATTAGCTTAGCTGACTAGTTCCTGGAATCTAGGAAATTCAGTTATTTTACTGGCTGCATTAATTGACCATACTTTGGTACCATATGAGATTTTAAATGAAAAAAGACAACTTGTCTCATTTTCTTCTTCTCCCTAGAAAAATCCAACTTCTTTCTTTCCTGCTCGATTCTTCTCTCTCTCTCTCTTCTGCTCTGACTATCTTTCTCGCCTTTCTCAACACCTCTACTTCTCTCATTCTCTCCCTCCCTGTTGCATTCTATGAACTGAGGACACAACATAGTTCAGATAATTTATCTCCATTTTGTGGCATATTAACACACTATAAAAGCAGAGATCTATCTATGATCCATTCATATGTAACCAAGAGTTATCTAGCCTATAGAAACCAATGTATTCTTGAACTTTAAACCCTCCAAAGGGGCATAGTCAGCTGAATACAGATCCTGACAAGATTAGAGA